GGTTAGTTGTAACATTAGACTTTATTTGATAAACATTTATTTGAACTGTAAAATAAAGGCTGTTAAAAGCCGATCATCAGATATTGTCCAAGATTAACCTTCAGGGTGGATATAGCTCGCTAGCAGCCTCGCACCGAGGACCTATCCACGTCATCATTTACCCAGAATGCTTTGTGTGCAAATAAAATGGCTCCGTCTGTGTTAAAATAAATATTTTAAAATTTAGTTTAAAAATGATGAAAAATGAACATCCTACAGTATTTTTACAGTCTTTATTTTACAGTTAAATAAATGTTTATCAAATAAAGTCTAATGTTATAAATAATCATGGATCCCTTTAAATCCTGAATATAACCAAGCACAGCACTCGTATATGTGCTTGGAGCGAACACAGAAGCATACACACCCTCTTGGTGAGCTGAGTGTCCATCATGAAGTTGTGTACATGTTTCTCAGCCTTGGTCAGCTCCAGCTTCCTGGCCACCACAGCCACCACCAGAGCGGTGCAGCCCGCACCCTGAGGAGGAAACACAGGCAGTCAGAGCGTTACAGCAGTCAGCCCTGAAAACTGAGGGATGCCAGGGCAAACACGGGGATGTGGAGATGAATGACAGAAGGGGAGGTGAACAGGAGAGGAGGAGGAGGAGGAGGAGGGGATTAGGAGGGACAGCTCTGCTCCAGATTTCTTCATGTTGAGAAGGAAGCCAAGTCTATTTTCACTTCCACTCCATCTGCTGTGAGGAGCCTTCTATAACGCTTCTATATGCAGATGAAAAATATACCTCTTATAGATAAGAAATAAAAAAATCAAAGTCTGACACCAGCTACTTTCATTTAATTACAAGCTGTCAATCTGAATTACAGGGTGTCAGCTTCTCCTCTCACCGGAGACTCCACGGGGCCTGCAGGACGATGTGTAAAAAGTGTAAAACACAAACCGGTTTGTCTGTATTCCAGCTGAACCCACGTGGGACATGTGGCGGATTCATTTGGGGGAGAAAGAGTGACAGCAGTCTCTCAACCAGAAAGACATGCTCGAGAGGAGAAGAGGAGGAACACGAGGAGGAGAGACTTAATTAACTTCCAGATTAGGCTCCGGTTTGAACAGCGCTCAGGAGTTACAAACGGTGAGAGGAAGGAAGAAACGGAGGGAAAGATAAAGGGAGCGAAGAGATAAATAAATAAAAAACTGGAGTGGGGGGGGGGGGTATGGAGAATGTGTGCACGCAAAAGGAGGGAAGGATGAAGGATGAAGGAGGAGGAGGCAGTGTTAATGAGGTCACACATCTCCTGATAGGTAATGAATTAAGATTAGGAGTGTTTAATGGAAGTGTACAAGTGTCCCTCTTCACTGCTTGTGAGTGTGCGTCTCACACAGGGGCGCCAGCATGGGGGGGCCATGGTCCCCCCTGAGAATAAGCTGGCCACCCCAGTTTTATCCTCTTGAGTACCCAGGTTTTTCCTTTTTCAATTCCCCTACCTGTTTAGGAATAGAAAACCTCATAAATATAAAAACAAACACTTATTTTTTTCAACAATTAATAGTTAAAAACATTAATTTATGTTTTATTTCAAACAAAAAATTAAATTAAATTAAAATGTAGCACCTCTGAATAAGGACAACCAGACCAGTC